GGTGGGGGGCAAGGGGTAGGGAGAGCAGGGGTGGGGGGCTAGGGGAGGGAGAGCATTAGGAGAAATATCTAACGTAGATGATGGGGTGATGGGTCCAGCAAACCACCATGGCACGTGTATACCTATGCATGCTCCGGACATGGACCCCAGAACTTAAAGTATAGTAAAAATAAATAAAAAGATATCAAAAAACGGTCTGGGCGTGGTGGCGGCACCTGCAATCCCAGCTACTTGGGAGGCTGACGCAGGAGAATCACTTGAACCCTGGAGGTGGAGGTCGCAGTGAACCGAGATGGCACCACTGCACTCCAGCCTGGGCGACGGAACGAGATTCTGTCTCAAAAAAAAAAAAATGTGTTTCTTTTACTCATAAAAGTGTCTTTTCCAATTACTAGAGATACTAACTCCGCCCGACTTGACTGCAAAGTGTAATAAAACACATTCTTTCATGGAGTGGAAAATGAGAAGTCATTTCAATTCTGAGTTTCGCTATGAGCTTCAGATACAAAAGGTAAACTCTCACCCCGCGTGGACCTGCCTTATTTCTGGTAAGTCACACTCTGGGGCGTTGGAATGGACAAAAACTCCTCTGACAATGCCACAGAGGTATACGTCGTTTAAAAAAGAAAGTTTGAGGCCAGGCTCGGTGGCTCACGCCTGTCGTCCCAGCAATTTGAGAGGCCTAGGTGGGCAGATCACCTGAGGTCGGGAGTTCAAGACCAGCCTGACCAACATGGTGAAGCCCCGTCTCTAAAACATAAACAATAAAATAAATAAATAAGTAAATAAAATGCTAATTATTTCACATGCATTTTATTTGTAAATCTAAATCTGATCAAAAAAGTTAAGTCCATTAATTTCTTTTATATTACCAAGTATTTTTGAGCCAAACTGTTTGGGTTTTTTTTTTTTTTTTTTTTAAGAAGTTAATACAGCCCACCAACTTCTTTCTTTTGCTGCTTTGAGGTAGCAGGCATAACTGCAGTTAGAGGTGGAGTCGTAGCCTGGCTTTACATCTGCTGCTGCACCCACCTAGTTTGCTGGCCTGCTATAGGCTTCCTGTGGCTCCCCCTGGATGTATATGGAAGGAATCTGGGAGGACATTGGGTCTTGTTTGTCCACAGGCTCCACGAAGCTCCCTCCCACCAAGTTCTTGCCACAGTGGTCCATAGGAAACCTTCTGGTCAGGTGTTATTTATGCCTAAGCTAATTGTCTTGCCCCCACTGCTCACCCAAGGACTTCCCAAACCCCCCCTGTTTTGCTGGTTTTCCTGGAGGGAGAAATATGAGTCTGGGGGGAGGGGGGTGTCTGGGAGTGTCCAGACACTGAAACGTTTGCTTTTGCCTTGCAGAGCAAGCAGCCTGTCATCACAGAACAGGTGAGTGTTCCTGACCCCCCATCTCTTGTAGTTGACATCGCAAAGGGTGAGTTGTTTATTTTCTTTTAAACCACAGGTCAAAGGCATAACCTCCTTCCAGCTGCTCAATCCTGGAACGTACACGGTGAGAATAAGAGCCCAGGAAACCTATGATCAATTCTGGAGCGCCTGGAGCGGCCCCCAGCGCTTTGGTGAGTGGGGTGAGTGGGGTGAGTGGGGCGCCTCTCCTGTCTCCCTCACAGGTGAGTGGAAGCTGCACGCACCCTGCCTCAGCCTCCGGAGTAGCTGGGATGACAGGTGCACATCACCACGCCCGGCTAAGTTTTTTGTGTTTTTAGTAGAGACGGGGTTTCGCCATGTGGGCCAGGCTGGTCTCGAACTCATGACCTTGTGATCCACCCACCTTGGCCTCCCAAAGTGCTGGGGTGACAGGCGTGAGCCACCGCGCCCGGCCCGTGTCAGTCTTATCGTATCTACACAATCGGGTGAAATGTCATTAGGAACTGAAGGGCCACTGAGAGGAGTGACCTTTCCCTTTCTCGAGGGGAGTTCAGAGAACACTCTGCTCTGCCCACTCTCGGGGAAGGCCTGCCATGACCCCGGCCTGTCCACAGACATCCAGGACCTTAAACGCGCCTCTGCGGTGCTGCGGTCCCGCGGTCACCACCCCTGTCCCCTTTCATGTTCTGCTTTCCCACCCGGAGCGGCTTTTTAGTTCTTAGAAATCATGAGAAGTAAGAATAGAGGAATCACGCCTGTCACCCCAGCACTTTGGGACGGCTGAGGCGGGCCGATCACAAGGTCAGGAGCTTGAGACCAGCCTGGACAACATGGCCAAACCCCGTCTCTACTAAAAATGCAAAAATTAGCCTGGCGTGGCGGTGGGCGCCTGTAATCTCAGCGACTGGGGAGACTGAGGCAGGAGAATCGCTTGAACCTGGGAGGTGGAGGTTGCGGAGAGCAGAGATCATGACACTGCAATCCAGCCTGGGCCACAGAGCGAGACACCGTGTCAAAAAATATATATATAAAAATAAAAAAGAATAGAGGAATCCCAAAAGCCTTTGATGTTTCTGCTAAGTACGTTGAAGGATGCTGACGTGGTCTGTAGCGGCATCGCGTGATTTGCTGGACCCTGTAAATCATGTCAGAGCTTCACTCTGCTGACCCTGCACCCCTGCGCTGTATCCAGTAAATATCAGCACATCCAGGCATTGGACTGCGTGCCTTGGTGGTACCGGTCCCCAGCGCTCAGCTGGACTCTCTCTCTTTTTTTTTTTTTTTTTTTTTTT